TGTTACGAACGCTTTTTAAGTTTTTGGATATAAAAAACGGAACAGCGTTTTTTAAAAGGTTTATTGGTCTCAATAAGCCCTTTTTGATAGTCTATTAATCTACGACTATTTTTTACAGTGTATAGGTGAATATCTTTTCTTGAATTTTTTATTTTGTCTGTTCGCTTGATTTGCCTGTTACTGCACGTGTTCTGTCTTTTCTGTTTATGCATGCATCCGCTCGTGGATAGGCTCATAGAAATTTTTTCGGTACATCTGCTCTAGAAAACAGTCTTTCTTTATTTCGACCTTTATGTATCATATCTTTCCTTTAGAATATGAAATGGATAGTGAATAGCATCTATCTTCAGAACTCATAGTTTTAAGAACACTCACGGTTTATGAGCCCGTTTACCCAGACTTTGAAGAGTAAACTTTTCAACCCCGTCAGCTAAATAAAAAAGTTTATATAAAAAACAATTTGGTAGTTTTGGTTGAGAACGTGGGGAGCCGACGGTCCATAGGGAGCTCTTTTCTTTTGGAAAACCAGTTCAGTTGTACGAATCGTCTTCAACTGTTATCGAATCTAACAAACCGTCCAGATCTCGCTCTCCTCATGTCACACTTTTTTATTAAATACCTTCGATACACCGGTGATATTTAAGATATGGATCATCACAGATACATATTTTCTACTGGATCATTCAATCTTCATAAAACTTTCAATGAATATAAAGCATACAAAGAACGATTACAACAAAAAGGAAGCTTGTAAGAGTGAAGGTTCTGCCAAAATGAGTGCAAAAAGGCGAAGAGACCCATGTCCGTCGCTAACGGTAGTCTGTCTTAGCGCAACCGATGTCAACAGAAATTATGCGACTAGGATTGAGTCCTTTGTTTAGTAGTCAAAATAAAATCAAAAGTTACAAATGACTACAAACGTAAAATAGAACATACATCTAAAACTGTGAGGAATAAACTAAGTCATATATACATAGATACTAGTATGGACTAAGGATATAAAGATATATGACTATCTTTAGGCTTGGTTATTTGCTGTTCTCTGTGTCAACACAATTTTATCTGTACCGGTTGCTTGTTGTTTTTATCGGCTTTTACATTCAGCGGTGAGTTACTGAATGTAAATTTTAATGTTTTTCAGAGTTCTTTAAGTTACGTTCTTAAAGTGTGTTACACTGGATTTAGACCATAATCGAAGAGTCGGCGATTCTCGGTTGATTAGACGTCCTTCTCAGTTGATTAGCCGTCGTTCTCAATTGATTAGCCGTCATTTCCAGTTCCGTAGCCGCCTCTGTTAGTTCTGCGGCTGCCCTTGGTAGTTCCGGAACTATTATGCTCAACGCTGGAACTGTGTTTGTCAGTTTCTGAACCGCCCTGGCCAGATGCTCTACCTCTGTCAAGATTGCCCCAGCCGCCTGTATCGCTTCTGCAGCCGCCCTCAACACAGTGGAAATCGCTGATGTCAATCTGCCCTGTGATAATTCTGCCATCACCTTTTGCAGCTCTCCAACAACTGTTTTCGGTTTTCCAGCCACCGTTTTCAATTCCAGAGTAACCTTTTGGGGCTATCTAATAACCGTTATCGGTTCATCAGCCTCAGTTGTCCGATTCCCATCCGCCGGTTTCATTTCCACAGAGAGCCTTTCAAGATTTCCAACAACCGGTTGCAATGCGTCAGTCGTAGTTGTATGGTTCCCAATTACCGTTTTCAGTTTCTTAGCCATCTCTTGCAGCTCCTTAGCAAGCGGTTTCAGTTCAGCAGCGACCGTTTTCAGTTCATCAGGCTCAATTCTCAGTTCCGCAGTCATCGGTTGCAGCATCAGAATCGCATTTTTTACTTTTTCAACTGTGATGTTCTGTCTATGGGTAACTGCTTTCAGCTCCGAAGTCACTGTTCTTAATTTTGGAATCATCCTGTTCAGCTCGGCGGCCGCTGTTCTCATCGCCGCAACTGCTATCTTTAGTGTGTTGATCTATGTGTGTTGAGTATTAAATTGAACGGTAGACACAATCGAACACAAGAATGCAATAAGTGTAAATAAAAGTGCAAGTGACGCTAATACAAATGATGCACCAACTTTAATGCTCAAGACGTTTTCGAAACGTTCGATTATTGTTGCTAAATCCTTACTAAGCTCATATATTAGTTTACGTGAGTAATATTGTCTCAGTGAATCGAAAAAGTATAATGCTTCATATTTCCTATTAATAATTTGTATTGTTAAGAGAATGATTAAAAGTAATAGTATTAATATATAACAAATAACCGACAAAATCATGACTGGCATTTCATCATGTATAGTGATGAATACATTTGTATCTACATCTCTTCTTCTATTTAATAATCTTAAACAATTAATCAGTATACAGCATAACAGAAGTCCCATTGAGAAATATAATAAGTTCTCTGACACGAGTATGTAATCTGGTGAACGGCATTTGCATTTTAGTGCCATTTCCTGAGAACTATCTGATGCTGCTAACGGTTCTGATGATGAGGATGAATGAAATATGCAATAACTATATATACTAACACTATGACATACTTTGAAATCATTAGCATTAAACTTTGGAATATAATTATGGCCACATCTGGCTGGTTGCACAAGTCCAGTTAGATCAGTTGATGACTTCGACGATGTGACTGATAATGAGGAATATTTCATACAATGCTTATAAATACCAAAATAGTGCAAATTACTATGGTACATTGAATCAAAAAACCGCTTTACTGGTGTACGAATTAATGAATCAATGGAACTGTAATCAAATCTGTTATCGCCCAAACGAATAAGTTTCCAATACGGTAATAATAATGCAGTTATAGAGAACACAAGTGCTAACAAAGTAAATGAAACTGATATAACGAGCAATGCATATTTTATATCCATGGATGGACGTGATGATGGACGTTTTTCATCTGCTGATAGTTGAGCATTTGTATTTAATCGTGTTAATGAATCGCACTCAGCCATTGATAAAATTTCATAAACTCCTTTGGTATGTATGCGTGGTCATGTATCTAAAACAGAAGATCGATACGATGTTTCATTGAGAAGTAACACTTGTTCGTATAGAAATCTTTTTAAAAGATAAAAATGGTTCTAAATAATGATTAAAGCTTCTATTAAGATGGTCAGTATTATGCAACAGACGCTGAAACAAAAACGATCTCTTTTAGATCGCCAAAAAGTGATTGAGATTGTAAACCGCGTATAAATATGGATAGTTAGTTCTTCAGAACAAAGTTGACCACTGTATAGAGAGAGTCAGACAGGACTTAGGTGCTGCTACACTCTTCTTGAGAAAAATAAAAGAAGTGTAGTACGACGACACTCACAACATCTAATTTAAAAGATTCATGGATGACATAAACGCCCCTCCTCCATAAGGAAATATAAATTGTTAAGAAGCATTACAAAAAAATATCGAGAGAAAAACATGAGCACTTTCTATTTGACGCAAAGAAACTACAATAAATTTGCAACATTTTAGCGAAATACCGAGCGTTGCAGGTGATTCTGTTCTCGGGAAATATGAATCATAAACTTATATGAGGGACGTATGATCAATTTTGTTACACACCGTATACTTTCAATGGGAAATACCAATCAAGAAATGGGTCAAACATCGATCGTAGGAATCGTGGTTATTATTCAACCACCGAATAATATCCCTGACCGAATCCAGGGGATTGTTGCCCTAGGGAATTGTTCAACAGTAGTCAGATACAACAAGCGCCATAGGCAACAAGTAACGGGCAGTTGACAGTACGTGACTCTTATCAAACACCTAAGGAGTTACTATTTGCCAGCCTCTCTCCTATGTCATGGACAGTAAAGTTTCTATGAAGAGATACAAAATTCTCGTGTACAGAGCATAATTCCTTCCAGACTATACACATAATTCTGCAGAAAACAGCATAATTCTCATGTAAAACCAATAAGTCAATAAAGTTTCTAACGAGCGATAAAAAATTCTCGTGAAGAGAGCATAATTCTCACACAAAACAGCATAATTCTGGTGTACAAACGTTATTCTGGTGCCCTCGAGCATCAACTTTCTATGAAGGCATACAAAATTCTCGTGTAGAGCGTATAACTCCTTGTAGACTATACACATTATTCTAGTGACCTAGACAATAAAGTTTCTACCAAGCGATAGATAATTCTCGGGGAGAGGGCATAATTCTTTCTAGACTACGCATAACTCACACAGAAAACAGCATAATTCTCGTATAAAACCACTATTGCGGTGACCTAGAAAATAAAGTTTCTATCGAGCGATTGAAAAATATTAGACTAGATGCATAATGCTCATACAAAACACCATAATTCTCGTGTAAAAGCATTATTCCCATGTCATGGACAGTAAACTTTTTATGAAGAGATACAAAATTCTCGAGTACACAGCAGAATTCCTTCTAGACTATACACACACAGTTCTCATACAAAGCACCATTATTCTCGTGTATAAACATTATTCTCGTGATCTTGGAAGGGATAGAAAATTGTCGTGGAGAGAGCATAATTCCTTCTGGACTATGCAAATGAGAGCATTATCTCTTCTAGACCATCTGCGTAATTCTCACCCAAAACTGCATAACTCTCCTGTGTAAAGATTATTGTCGCTACCTAGACAACCAGCTTTCTATGAATAGATACAAAATTCTCGTGGAGAGAGTACAATTCTTACACAAAACAGCAGAATGCTTGTGTAAGAGCATTAGTTTGGTGACCTGGGCAGAAGAGTTTCTATGAAGAGATACGTGAAAATTCTGATATTTTCTTGCTTGAGGATGATTGATTGAGAGAGATAAGGATAGAACAGAAAGAAGCAAAGCACAAAAGAACACTACACAGTTGATAGAATCGAACACTTGAACTTTGAATTCAAATGCAAAGAATTTACTTTTGGACTAAATTGTCCAAAAGTAAACTCTGAGGTGTTCTCATCCCCATCCTGTGCATTGCTATAGTGTGTTCTACTCCCGCTGCTCAACCCATACAGCTTATATCGTTGATCAGCGACCAAAGCCTGCATACTCTGTGATGAGTTATAGAGAGAATTAAGAGAGACATTACATCACAGAACAAGAGATTCTCATGCAAGGGAGCATAATTCGCGTGAGGGACTGAGGGAACAGGCAAAGTTGATATGGCTGTTGTTTTGTTACCACTCAGAGGTACCTTCTGCTAGTTTCGTAACCGAATTCTTGTGAGACGAACATAATTTCGGTTTGACGATTTCTCTCCCACTGCTGCATAATCGAACTTAATGTTGATACGTGACAGATGGGAATCCAGGCTGCTTAAAGCGATTAGTCATATATATAAACTTTAAAACAGAATAATATATATGTCTATCATATCTTCATATTTCATCGAGTCATACAGCATACGTAATGACATTGTTATGGTTGCCGTAGGCATTATGTCAACAATCTCAGAGAATAGTAGTTTTCGTTGGTTTTGTTATAAAGCACAATGGAGGAAAAAGTGTTCAAGTGTCTCATTCGCACCACATATACAGTACGGGTCAGCAGTGAGATTGCTAATGTACCAATCATGCCGCCTTAGTTGAGTTCGATCAACTCGACATCGACAAAAATGTATTTCATCTAAGCGATTATTTAAAATGGGAAATCTTTTCTTGACGAATGCTTTAATTTTCTTTTTAAAAGAATTCAGCTTCATTGCACTACGTGTATTAAACGGTAATTATTGCCAATCAATACGAGCTTGGTATATATGACTTGATCGATGAGGGACAGAATTGAGATTCAAAGACCGATCTGAGCGCGAATGGATATTAGATTCATGATCAGCAGCGATAATTACCTATCAGCATATAAGTTTCAAGGAAAAACCGATTTTTAATTTGAGGATCTTTTCTTGTAGACTCTTCTTTATTTTCAGAAGGTATAATCTTGTCCTATGTGAAAAATAAAATATTTTCTTCATCGCAATACTAAATTCAGATCCTATTAGTGAAGCTGCGTCGAATTCCTAGTAATACCAGTGTTCGATGAAGTAAAATGTTTTTATTTTAGTTTTTATATCAGCTAATGTGCTCAAATCGCGTGGTCTGTTGAATCGTTTATTAAAAAAACAGCAATCTGACGCTGAAATTATACAACAGTTCAAAGTATTTTTTATTCTACAGAAAATATATTGCTGGAATGTGGTTGGTAGAACAAACAGAATATTTTAGCGGTATTGTATTAAGATCACATTTTTATAAGGAAAATTGTTGGAGAAACCGTAGAGCCATATGATTTTATACTACATACGAAAGAGGAGGAAAAATCGAGAAAAGAAAATGCTGAAATTAGGAGCGAGATTATAAGATCTTCTAGTTCAAGGCTGGAATTATTTATGGAGATAAAATAAGAAAAGTATTTCAATGAGTCAGTAGAACGAGCAAATATGGAAATAACTATTCGAGATAATACTGATCCTTCGATTGGTAATCCATTAATTAGTTTATTAAATAGACGAGATAAATTTGAAAAGAAAGATTTTGAAGAAATTGTTTGTTATAACGAAGAATTATGGGAAGCTTTAAATGTTAGAAAATTTGAAAATGTTTTTATATTAGATATAAATCGAATAGGAAAAGAATTACCACAGAAATATAAAAATATTTGAAAAGAGATAGAGAAGATAGTAGATTCACAACAGGTTGATATATCGATATTTGAAGGATCTTCAGAGAAAAATAAATTTAAAGCCTATTTAGAACAGAACCAAATATTAACTCAAACTAAGCGAGTTAAAATAGATGAATCAAATTTAAATTCTTTAAGATTTGATGGTAAATATGAAAAATATGCTAAAATTAAATTTAATGACAAATGTTCATGAAACAAAAGATCTTAATGTTTTTAATAGAATTAAGAGGTAGTATTAAAGAAGATCGTGAATATTTTTACTTACCATATGGTACAAAAGAAGAAGAAGGAAATAAAATATGAATATTTAAAAAAAAATATTCTAAAATCAGGCGGACTTGCCACTCATAAATATGGTGATAAGCAAGAAGAGACAGATAAACTATTAGATAAAATTTTAGCAAACGGTGGTTATGAAAATGATAAAAAATTAATTCATTCGAAAATATCAGTTTTACAAGGAGATATTCGTTCATATAAAGATGATTCAAAAACAACCTTTAAAGATTTTATCGATCTACGAGATTAAGAAATTGTTCCAAGTGAATTAAACGTTTTTCAAGGATTTGCTCTGAATAAGTTTTTGAAGATTGAAGAAGATAAATCCTGGTGGGATTGGAATGCTCTTGCAGTTGCAATGATAGGACTGCGCAAGTCATTGTCAGAGCAGTCTTAATCGCATTCGTTGCTGTTAATATAGGAGGTGCTCAAGTTAGTAAAGGAATTTCTGATATAATATATGCAACCATGGCAGGACTATCAGGCAATTTCACTTGGAGGGATTGGGCAACACAAAAGGCAATTAACTTTAGCATTTCTATAGTGATTGCAGGTCTTGGTAATTTAGCATCGATAGGTAGCACTGCAGTAAAATAGGTTCAGTATCTAGAGCGGCAATATTAGCGAAAATAGTTAAAGGTGCAGCATGTGAGTTTGCCACTACTTGTTTAACTAACATTTTAACTGACAAAATTATAGAACAAATTCAAGAAGGTATTACTTTACGTTGCTAGTAACATTGACAAAGAATTTGAAAAATCTCTTAGCGAAACGAAAAAAAATATCGAAGGAACATTAGGAGGATTTCTAATTCTTAATTAATTATCATAACAATTCGATAATATTGCAATACAACTTGAATCTGCCGTAAGAAATAGTTACGAGAAATTTGCTGAAGGTCTAAATAAGTCGAGTTCAAAATACGCTAAAATGGCTGCTACTGCAATTAAAACAGCAGTTATGATAAATCAGATATGGAGTTTAGTTCAATCCATTTTACAGTTAAGTCATGCGATAAGTACTATTATACAGATTATTGAAGGCGCAGTTAACATAAACAATCAGAATGTTAATGCCAGAAAATTAAACGATGCAATTGTTAAAGCAAGAGCAGCTCAATTGACTATTGTCGGTAAAAAAAAAGAATGGACTCGGATGTTTCTTGAATAACGTTGGACAGAAATGTGGTAGATGCTTGCGGTCTTCACTAATCGAGAGCTAGGATCTAACTGCATCTTTTCATAATGAAAGTTATTTTCAAAATCTTTTCTTAAAGCAGGTTTTTCAGGAGATCTTTCGAAAACCAGGTCATTGCTCAAAAAATTCCTTCTTTTCTTTCCGACTTTATTCTCGTGCCTTTTTATAGTTTGTATCATTTTTTAGAATAAATGTCTATATAATGATAAGAACAAAAAATGAAGGACACTGATTCCGTGCTGAAGAAAGTGAAAATGTTTTTAGTTTCCAATTTTCCTGCGCTCAAAGTTCTGGTGCTTAGTTCATGATAAAATATGATACAATTGGATAACAGTTTCATTTCGTTATGTTTATGCAACATTCTACTTAACATTCCGTAGTTCTCACATCGTCTATACATAATGATATTGTACTTGAACATGTTCGATCCCGACACCGCCGTTGATTATTTGTTTTGTTTGCTCGTTTTTCTGGTGTATTGATACCCATTACGATTCAAAACTGGTTTCTCTTTTTCAATAGACGTGAAGAGATTGAGAAGTTAGTTTGGGACGAACTGAGCGGACCTCGTTACGTAAAGACTGTTTATTAATAGCTTATAATGAATCCCTTGGTCGAAAAGTAAATGAAGATATGATAGAAGGAGAAAATTATATCAATATACTGTTCGAAATTCAAAAACATTTGCTAGATATAAACAAAATGTAGATGTGAGTGGATGTAATCAAATGATTGGCGGTGGTGGAAAAAGGCCCTTCAAACCACGTCTTGAGGACATAAAAAGTGGTCTATTTGATAATTTGGCAGGTAGCTATAATGATTTATGTAAAAAGCTTCCAGAGCGGAGAAACGTTTTTGAAATACATCACATCCCTCCAAAAGCTGCATATAAAGGTACACCTTATGAAGGCATCCGTATAGATGATATGCCAGCATTGGTCATGGATGCACGAGATCATAGATCGATTACTTCGACAGCATCTAGTTATATATCCAAAGAGTATCGCGAAAACCTTCGGAATCTCGTAATAGAAGGAAATATGTATACTGCTTTGAAGGTAGATCTAAATGATACGTTAAATACGGGTAGGGAAAGAGACCACTATGTAGAGCACGTTACTCAGCTTCTTGATCATCTGGTAAGTAAATCTGTAAGGTATACTCCATTTAACAAATGATTGTTGAACCCTGGCACATCCTGTTCCGTGAATCAAGCATTAACCATAACTCAGGAATTGGGTGAAAGATATTATTCATATACGTTCTTTTTTGTTGGATATTTTTTCTATCGTTTTCTAGTGATTTCTTCCTTTACTGAACTGCTTGTTCTACTGAGGGTGGGTGTGAGCACGAGCTGCCATTACGATTCATCCCGGCTAAAGGAATCTTCCGATGGCTTTGTGTCAATGAAGACTAAATTTCTCTCTTACAACGAATTGTAATGTAAACGTTGTTAATAGTCTAGAAGATAAGACAAGAGATTGAAAGCGGTCACACGACGTTTCGTCCTTGCTAAAGGGACTCATCAGGTATGTTTACAATCTATTATTACATGAATCAAAATCCTTCACATCAATGAAGAAGTTAAGAACTTCGTAATAATTCTTAGTTCTATTACAAGAATAGAAGATTTTATTGAATAGACATGTAGCATATTAAAAAAATCGAGATTTACAACTTTATTTTGTTGACAATGCTAACTCGTTAGATGAATATGATCCATTATATTTAGTTCTAGTAGCTGATACGCTAGAAACTATTTATGCAAAAATTGATAAGACAATGTGAACAAGAAGAAGAACAACGTGAATCACCGTCGCCTACAACTTTATATATTCTGAGTAAGATTGAGCAAATGGTAAAAGTTACTGTCTGTTCGTGGAGTTACCAAAATAAATTTTACTTCATTTTGTAGAGTGGACAATTCTGCATTTATTCATATGTAATAGAACATTTCAAAACATTAGAATGATGTACTTTTAAATCAAATAGCGGAGGTGAGCACAGGTTTCATCATTTTCTTACTTATCTAAATTTTAATACAAATCTCAAAGATATGAACATACAAAACTTTTTTCAGTCATTCCAGATGCAGAGCAAACATTTCTCTACAAAATGAGACGTCGGCGAGCTCTTGTGATGTTTTCTTATGGTTTTACACGCGTTTTACGACAAGGACCGTATTTGAGGCCAGTCTCTTACTGCCTTTTACCCTAGTTTTGATCCATCAACCAGATGCAATAATTTACAAATAAAAATTTTAATTTTGTAAAAATGGCTGGGAAATGTATGAAATTATGTGTGGAAAAAGACATTTTTCTGCTCCTTTTAAAATTATTTCGCGAAAATATTAAAAATTTCATAACTCAGTCAAAACCGAGGGAAACCACGTCAGAATGTCATAGTAGACTCTGTTTCATCTACACCATATGATGCAGTTCAACAAACATTTTAAAAACCACATAATATACTTTGATTTTGAAACGGTTTCCTGCAACGCTTCCAAAGTAAGATAGTACTTTTAATTGAGCTTAAGTAATGGATCAGATTCAGCAGATAAAATAGAGTATACTGTGATATTCTGACTTGATTTCCCTCGGTTTTGATTGAGTTATGAATTTTTGAATGATATAAATCAGATAGAAAACTTTGAGAATTTTCTGATCCTAACGTTCCAGTTAATACACAAAGATGTTTTTCATATTTCTTTGAATAAATGCCTTATTAGAAATAAAAACTACTTCTAAACTTTCAATTGATAATTTTCTTCGATATTTTAATTCTTAAAATTGAACTAAACCATGACACCATCGTGTAGAATATTGTTCAACTCCAGTATCTTTATCAAGTACAATAATAGTTTTTTGTTTGGAAGTATTTGGTTAATCTATTTTCGGTACATCTAAAACAAAATGATTATCTTCTCGCATGATTCGTCCTTGAAATGCACTATCAATCGAACGTTTGATTTTATAATTAACAAAATTATGCATATAATCAGGAATAGAAATATTCTTAGTTTGAACATGTTGTTTTACAAAATAAGAAATATCTTCTATGTGATTTATAAATCGATTTATAAATCGTCCTATTTCGGACTCTTTATTAGAGTTTTAACCTTACCTACAACATCAGACCTATCAACACCTTTACCTTTACCTAGACGAGCTATAACGATAGATTTGTCTTTAACTAGCTCGTTCAAACGCTTGTTAAAAACTGTAGTCTGAAGTATTAAAGGCTTCAATTCTCTTTTCGCATCCACACAAAGAGTGACTTCGTATGATGTTAGTTTTATGAAAAGCACGTAGAAGGTGTTCAGAAGATAAAGCAAGTAACGTGATTTCATCGACATCCTTACCCCCACGTCTTGCAGAAAGAGAAAATCTGCACAAGTTCTTTAAAGATTTTTTTTCTTGAAAATTCTTGATCAAGAACTTGATCAAGATTTATTGATACCTCTGCACTTGATGTCCTTGGAAAAACTT